TGCCTTTTGTGAAGGAGGATCGAGTTTCTTTCACGTTTGAGAGATCAAAACGAATTCTGAAGGCAAGTTCATCTTCTCCGAACTCATCCCCTTTTTCCTTGTTTTTATTAGATTAAAATTCTTTAAATGTGTAGAGACCACTCCTTAAAGCTTGGTGATGCAAAGATCTAATTTCTGAACTTAAAAGTTTAAGAAAACGAATTCTTTAATTAGGGTTAAAGATTAATATTTGATATATTGCTAGTTTAATTGTTTCAGGATGAATTTTTACAACCATAATCATGTTTAGGGTTGTTAGATCCCCTCAAATTTATGTATGTGGTTTCATATATCAAAGTAAACCTTATATACCATAATGAAGAATTAAAACATGTTACTTTCGAAGAATTTTCGACTTTTGTGAATTTTTGAGAAATCTGTCGACTTCGATTCGTCATCGGGTCGGTCGACTGATCAGAAGGGTCGGTCGACTGATCAGAAGGATCAGTCGACCGATCGATCTTTAGGAAAATTGAGTTTTCTCTCAGGTCGGTCGACCGACATATGTATCGGTCGACCGATCGAGACTTGTTGTTTGTACATGTTTGTGCACGTTCGCTGTTCGGTCGACTGATCAAGTGTCAGTCGACTGATTCCCAAGGGCCAGTCGACTGACTTGATGTTGTCTTTGCGTGTGTTGATCTTCCACGCACGTAAGATCGTGGACACGATGTACGGGCCCGCACGTCGATACACGTGCGTGACCCTGGGAGTATACGTGTGGAGTTTGAGCATACACGGACCCCTTTGCAATGGTGAAGCCTAATGTGTTAATTCTATCACAATAGGAGACGATAAGATAGAGTTGCATATGTTTGCATGGGTATCGTTGATGAGCATAGCTCAATATTACCTAGGATAGTGCGTCGGTACGCTACACTGAAGTAGGCCGATGCGCCCATGCTCCATAGGATGTCTGAATAGGTAGTCCGTCCCGTATAATGATGCGATGAGGCCGGTGCGCCGTACCTGTAGGATACCCTAGTGGTAGTCTGTCCCGCATGGTGATGTGATGAGGCCGATACGCCTATACTATGTAGGATGTCCTAGTGGGTAGTCCGTCCAGTATGATGATGCGATGAGCCGCGAGATTTTGCGAGCGACAACACTGTAATATTTGATCGCCTGGGTCTCAGGTGGGTATTGATTATGGACGTAGTCCAACATTAAGGTATACCTTGCGACGATGCATATTTTTGGTAAGGATCACACTGAATGGTGTATTTGTTCCCGTGCTACCTACTCGAGGGTAGGGTGAGATACTGTGATTCAACACGCTTGTCATGTTCTGATTAAGGTTTGGTGATGTATTTCTTTATAGCTTATTTATAGGAATTGGAGTTGATATTTAGCGATTCACAATTTGAGATACATAGTATATATATGAGGGTTTTCTTGTTTGGATTATTCGCTTGTAGTACTCATCTCGTGTTGTGGATTTCTAAATCTTAACTCCTCTTAGTACATGATATATGATTTATATATATGCTATGTGTAGTATTCTATATGCTATACCCCTTCACCCTAGGGACGGTGAAGATGTTCTTGCTAGCGTTCTGACGCTCTTTGTTTTTACCTTTTTCAGGTAGCGGGTCAGGAATTCGGAGAGCCGCAGGTTGACGGAGACTCGGTATAGTTTACCGTTATTTATAGGTAGCTAGTTGGTATTCCACAGTAAACTATTTATGGTTTTAGACTTTTAGAAATGTATTTTATTTTGGAGGCTGAGTGCCTTCATACTATTCAATTGACTCTTATGTTTTAGAGACTCTTTGTTCTTATCTCAATTTATCAGATGTATTTTCTTTTCCTCTGTTGGGAACAAATTTATGAAAGTTGTTGAATATCTCTTTCCATCATTTCTTGTATTCCCACTATTATTATATCTGCTTGCACCCTTACCGCTCTATTTTTTGATATATGCTAGAGTGATAGCAACGGTGACAGTGAAACATGTTTATGCATAGTATTGGGTGCATTGATAGGTTTGGCATCTCTGGGTTGACTGCAGCCATGTGTGAAAACATGGGCGTCACAGTTGGTATTAGAGCTCTAGTTCCAATATCCTTAGGGTATCCTGTGTCGGGTCGTGCAGCTAGTATAGAATTTTCTTGGGGCTCGTGTATAGAGTTCGCTAGGGATTCCTAGATTGAGTGAGGCGGTAATGCGCATAACTCGAAAACTTGCAACTTGTCACTGAGAAAGAGTAACAACTAACAGCATAATAACATTAGAATAGGGCAAAGTGAAGGTGAAACAACATAGAAGCATTCTATGTTTCTGACCTAGGAGGTAGAGTTATTAACAGGCAATAGCTGTAGTTGGGATGCTAGCTATTCCCAGTCAGGGGTATTTGCTGGTTGCTTCTATTCTACTATAGACAATCTTCACCGACTCTGACTATAAGCTAAAGTGATATTGCGAAAAGAGCAACCGCAACCTTCTGAAGTAAGCAGCAAGCTCAGTCCTCATTTGGTCAGCATTCTGCAAGAGCATCTACTACAGTGACAAGACTTTACCCATTTTTTTATTTTTTATTTTTTATTTATTTTGGGCTGAATACATGAATCCTTTTTCTCTACTTTGCTAAGGGCCATTTCTGTTTTTAGATAAGAATCCACGACAATTCCCCCCTACTTCAATCTGTGGTCATTTTGCTTTCTTCTACCTGCTCCTTCAACTGCAGTACTACCACTCCTAGCTGGCCCATTAATGGCTTCTTGAACATGTTCAAAGTATATCATCGTCAACAAAGATAGGGTTGCAAAGGTGCAACAGCAATCACTATCAGAGAATGACAATTTAGAAAGTGCATTCTAGCATTCTGCATGTCCATTTCCGTTCCTGTGAACTCTTGAATTTGGCTTGTCACTTGCTTCATCTCTTGTACCCGGTCAGTGAGATAATCAAAAGAAAGGGAACGACAGCATAAAAATTCACTGGGCAGTAGTGACCACCAAACCCAAAATTATGTACACAAAGCTTAGATGATATCATGTTAAAAATTATCATATTATGATGAAGCCCTTGTTGAATATTTTCCGCCTGAAAGAAGTTGAGACTTGTTTCAACAGAATGCAGATTTGATGAAAAGTAGGATGGAGCCCTTGTTGAATATCTTGCCAACATGATAATTACATGGATTAACTTCTACCAATGAAGATCATGTTATCAGAAGCACATGAGCAAACAGACAATAAGTTTCTTTATTTGAGTGCCGGAGCCTGTGGCTAGAATCGTATGACAATCATCTGTTACTTAGTAGGAGGCATAATTTTCTATAAAAAGCCACAAAGGCACGGGACAAAATGATAAGCATTTACTTTATGTATTCTGGTTATATACCACACAGGAAAGCAGTCAGAGACAAACCTGCATATAAGTTAGCTGACTATAACTTAAGGCTTTGGATTTAACATCAGGATTTGTCCCATCCTGCAAAACCAATTAGAGCATGGAAAAGTCATTCTTCCCAACCAGAAATTCAAACCAAAATTTGAGAAAAAGCCAAAGACCTGCCTGGGAGACAAAAAGTGGAAATTTTGATGCAACTGCACTCTGATACCTGGAAATTTGGGCGTTGAAAACAATCTCATTCTACTAGTCATGTAATTCTTTTTTTCAAATTAAAGAGTGCAGCAACCTACTATATATATGAAAATAAGCAAAACATAAGCATACTTCAGTATAGACTCAATGGTCCTCTGCAAATAGTCAGGACGATTGCAAGCCATTATCACAACAGCTGCAACAGGCTCCTGAAAAGACGAGTATAAAATTAGATGGTAGAGATGCATTGACCGTACTCCAATCCTCCAGAAAATATATAAGCAAAAGAAATGACCTAATCCTCAAAATGCTACAATCAGAACACGCATTATTTCTAAAATAGCATACCTTTTCTTTACTAACTATGCTCTGCAGACCTTTTCCTGTACCCAAAATGCATAAATACAAATATGAGATCAAATGCAAATTTCACTTTGAGTAATTATAAAGCATTTATTGTCATTCTTCAACAAATAGAAGGGCTATTTTAATATTGCTTTTTTTTAGGGTGCTTTTGCTTATTTTTTCAAAAAACAGGCAATAATGGTGTTTGGTAAAACTTTTTTTTACATGATTATTGAATCTGCTTCTGCTTTCAAGAAGATGCTTTTAGGAGCAACTTGAGGATAACTTTTAAAAGGAGCTTCTACTTTTTGTATTTTATATACTATATACATCCTTAGATGTTGCCAATATCTCTTACTTACAATAAACATGAAGCTAAAACTATGTTTATTTTAGAAATTTTCACTTAAAATGAGTTTTAAGCATAATTTTACCAAATACCTTAATTACTTTTGGAAGCAGCTTTTGATATATGGTACCAAACAACTATTTTCGGCAGCTTATATAGGTTGTTTCTATAAGTTGTAAGCTCCAGCAATACCAAATTAGGCCTAAGCTACAAAATGAGCCTCATAAAGTGAGTTGCTCGTACATAGTATGGTAAATGCGTGTATAACTTTTCACTTTTCGTAGTTAAGCAATAAAAATTATTTGTTGTAAAGAATAAGTTATACGGGGTTTCACAGAAATAAATGATATAAAGGGGCACTAAGAGAATTTTAAAAGATGTTTCTTAAATAGAAATAGCTGCTAGTGCAAATTGAAATAGACAAGAAAGAATATAAATCTATTAGGCCAGTGTTACTAATTTGATTTGGCTAATTTCAGCTTCTGTATTCCATTATTTGATAATTATAAGTTTATAAACTTTTTCCTTTTATAAATTATATTTATCCAAATGGACAAATATACAGAAATGTCAACACGCTAAGATGGTGGTGATGAGAAAAGAATACAGATAATTAACTGCAGAGTAGCGATAAAAATGAACCTCAAGGAAAGGAAAGTAAACAAAAGACTATACTTTCAAGATCTCGAACTAGATTCTTCAACTGTGCACGCTCTTCATCTTGAAGTTTATTCGCTTCTGAAACATTAATATAAAATCAGAATCTCAAAATTTTGTGTAGGAATTTTTTTTACATTGTTGCATAGAGAAATTAACACAGGATATCCACCCGCTTAACTGGAATCATGTAAATAAAAATTCATGGGAAACAACATGCTTTAACCAGTTCTAAAAAAATTATTCATATGCATATAAATTGCAATGTAGCAATATCATGTTCAGTACGCGTATTTGAACATAGATGTTAGGAATGTGGGGTGCTATAGCGAACTGCGACCCGGATTCAATCATCCCAAATTCATAGTGGAACACGACCCGATTCACAAACTCTAGCGACCCGATTTAGAATTAAAACAAGTTATTTTTTTTTAAAATATCTTTTTTCAATAGAATAAACAACAAAAAATGTGAGAAACTAAGCAAATAAAGTATGCATATCTTAATTGCGACATGATTCTCAATGATCTTTTACCATTTCTGATATCAGCTAGTATATTTATCAAATTTGACTCTTGCAAAACCATTAATTCCTACATCTAAGAACTGAACCTAAAATGTCCACGTTCCATAGCGTACCATATAAGCCTATCTCCCTCGTATCTGACTCCTAATGAGTGGTGTACCTGTACCACGCTCCCGTTCCTGTCCCGTGAACCAAAACGAACTGGGTTCCATGTAACTATGGTTTTGAATTACATGTGCTTGAATTATGACCTCACAATGTACAATAAATAATAAATATTTAACTTCCTCATAAAACATTCTTAGATCAACTAGAAAAGTTTCACTTCAATGTGAACAGAAGACTTAAGGTGAAGAAGAGAGCAAACTGAAGTGTAGTAACGAAATATACTAAAATATGATGATAAATTGATATAGATCGTGAAGACAAGAGTATCTTAATAAGGAGAACGTATCAGCCAATATGGATTGGGAAGGAAAACTTGAACTTTCTTTGGAAACAATATAAAAAGCTTGTAGATGAAGCAACTGTCTTTTTATTGGCTAAGACTAATACAGGATGTGCTAAATCAGGCCTAGAATATTGGTAAGGCTTTGACGATGTTGTTGATATAATTTCAGAGCGTCCTGCACAACCACATAGTTATGCAGTAACACACCACACATTACTAAAGCAGCTTATCACTCAGTCATTACATAAGGTGAATGATCACACAATGCAGATGAATGGAAGGTGGCTATAGATTTTAAGCAGGAAAAATGCAGAAATCCTATTTAACTATAAATTTTAAAAAAATTGGCAACTTATTACTCAATACTTAAAATCGGGCGAAACAAACTTATATCAACATGACACCACTAAAACAGAGGAGCAAAGCATCCAATCTATCTTCCGAAGTAGAAAATTTTGAAGCTTCCTAGTCCTCATTAAAACTTTCGAAGATAAATGGCCTTCATTCCACTGCAATTCATGTCATCAGCTGCTTACATCTTCTTGTCATGGTTTTAAAGACCATAGCAGTAAAATTCAAGACACATAGAGGCAAAGGAGTTTTCTGCAGTCTAGCTTGGGCATTATATGGGCATATAGTTACTGCTCTCACACATACAAATCCACCAGGATCAAAGATAAACTCAACAAATCCATGTGTCTGTGAGCCAAAGTGAACGTTCATAGGTAATCCAAGGACCAAAACCCTATTGTTTCAGAATGATAAGTTTTCTGATCAGAAAAATAGTTGTTTGGAGAAACATAATATGCTGAAACAAACAAAGCAGAAGTTTGCAGTGGGAAATGTTGACTAACTCTGATGTTTTAGTTTCCACTAGATATAATACACCTTATGCAGGTTCATATCTATAGGCTGTCTACGCTGGCAAAAGTTTTGTTATAAATTCAACAGATTGAGATGAAGTATAGGTGCACCTTCCAAAGAAACAATTTTTTCTTGCTGCATGCTTATTTGGTCTATCAACAACCGCATTTGACTCGTACATCGACTTTCAGATTCAACCTGTTCCAAATACATCTGCAATGAGATTACGAATAATAATATGCAATACTTTAAACAAATGTAAGAATATAGAAAAGAAAAAAAAACCTTGCCTACTAATAAAGAACTGGAATATTAGTCATGCATGCATGCATGTATGTATGTGTGTAAATAATATCAGTATGTTCCCTATGACAATTTGATGTATTCCCCTCATGAAAGCAATTTGATTCCATGTTGTTACCAGAAAGTGGTTAAGACATCTTTTCATCAAAAGATCCAACAAAAATGTTTGTCATATGGGAAACCAAAGGGAAATTAATTTTGTGACAAGGAGATGGAGCTTTTCTGACATACTATTCTTGCAGTTCCCTAACCAAAACTGTCTTCTTCGCTCTTTGGTATCCTTCATAATTTTGAGTAAGTTCCTTAGACTTCGCCTCAGTATAAATGGCTAGAAATGCTATGCAAGAGCTTCTAGAAAGATGAACCGACAATATCATAAAATTAACCTAATCCACCCACTACTCAGATTTCTGGCTGACAACCCTTATCAATGAAGAAATGATTTCTTTTTTGTGGGAAATGATTGAAAAGTGATAATGATGATGCGCATCCAACCTTGGAATTCAATTCTATACAGTACAAGCCCCTATGTAGTGCTGTGATTTATGCATCTCCATGTTGCAATTCTTGTTCAAGATTTGTTCAAGGACTGGAAGAATAAACGAAAGACTTGAGAAACCAGGATAGAAATGTAAGAAGAAGCCAAAGGGCTTGCATGGACATTTGATATAACCACTGAAGAAAAAAATCAGAGAGCAAAGACAGAATTTGAAGGGCAAAATTGATGGGCCTAGATGTGATAACAGGCAAATTATTAGTATTTAGTAAGAATCACAAATTATCAGCTTGTATCTATTTATTACGATATACTTAAATATGACTGAAGCAAAGAGTTGTTAAGGCTCAAATTTTGGGGGATATAAGGGCATGTGATAGCCCTTTAGTTAGTACGTCAAACAGTTGCAAATAGAAAACATCAAGTCACCAATTTTAACATTATGGTGGTTAGATGTGATTAACCTGAACCTGGAGAAGTTCTAGAATATTCTAAAGAGCTAGTAAAAAAGTGCTAATTTAGAAGGAAAAATAGGGCCTCTTTCATGGGTTTACAGAAATACAGATATGATGGAGTACTAGAAAGACATTACGAACCTGAATAAGAACATCAATATCTCTGAAAACAAAGTCAATGGTGCCTTCGACAACAATATTCATTAGAGTTATTTCTTTAAAAGCAAAACTCATTACGTCTTAGGATTCTGACATCAAGGAAAAAACATTGCACTCAATCAAGTATGCAATTATAGCAAGTATGCAATTATAGCTGAATCTTCCCCAAATTGTTCTACTGAAAGAATAAGAATGTAACTATTCAACTCAAAAACTCATTCGTGTATTTGAGACGCATCAGATATTTTCAAGTATTTGATAGTTGTTGATTTTGGTTAAAATATCATGGTTAAGTGATTATCAAGCAACATAATTTGAAATGTTTAAGACACATCCATCTTAAAAGTTTTGATATTTTATTCATGTTTTGCATGAATTGATAATATAATATAAACAGCGATAAACACCTATCATGCCATATTTATTTTTTGAGGATGTTCCTTTAAAGCTTCTTAAGAACAACCACTCTTTGAAATTTCTGAATATTTTGTTTGTCCACATTCCACATATGAAAATTAAAATCCGTTATTTGTACCTCAAAAATATATAATTTACCAAAATTGCTCTTCATAATTGCCACTTCTATAGCTACAAGTACCTTATCGAATAAAAACTATGTAACTTCGACTTCAACAAACAATACCGGATTGCATCCATATGACAGTAGTAAATCCAACTCGTCATACAGAATCTCATAGTATCTTCCTTAAAAACTTCCAGCTCCCAGATCTCATAAAATCTCATAGTTTCTTTAAGAAATCAAAAGTAACTAGACAATGGTGCTATACTATGAAGCACGGACACGCATAACATGAAGCCGTGTCGTGTCGTGTCCGTGTCGGACACACGTGTCGAACACACGTATCCTATGTATTTTTTAGGATTTGCCTCGTGTCGGCGTGTCGGATGGCCATGTCGGATCCGTGTCCGTGCTACATACTGCTATATTTTAACTTTTTAAGAAATCATCATGAACTTTTGATTGCATCTAAAGAACTATCATGAAGTTCCTCTAATTCATGTATTCATGGCTGTTTCTACAAAATACAAGCATTTTTCTTAAAAAGGTCATGAAAATTTGTGATAGATATGCGAACAGAAAAAAAAGGTTCATGATAGTTTGTTCAAGAACAACCCGAGGTTCATGATAGTGTCTCGAAATTTAGTCAAAATAGCTCTCAATTCAAGATCAAAAGTGAAACTCAAAGTAAATGTAAACATATTATTAAGCCTTCATGTGTTGAAGATAGACTTCTTAGAGACAAATTACGAACACTTGATCATGTCAACTATAGCTATTTCTTAATAATATGAGTCATATGACAACATTAGTTAGACCACGAAAAGAATAATAATAAGATGGTGTTCATAGTAATAGCAGCATTGATCAAATTGTCTCTGGTTCGTCGCAGGAAATAATGAATGTGACTACACTGAACAAGGGGGAAAATATACACATTCAATACGAGGAAAGACTGTCTCACTCACAGCAGCTGCCATGCGATCTGCATACTCAGATTGTGTGGAGAAAAGACGTATCTAGGCATAACAGCAACAGACACAACTTGTTAGCACTAACCAAACAAATATGAAACATGAAATCAGGTGAATTATATACAGATATCTGGATCATGTTAAGAAAGAAAGACTGTAATATAACAACATAGTTGGATGCTTTGCAAGGCGAGTAAAATTGTATTACACATGAGGTGTAGTTAAGAAGTTCAAAATACCTGCGAAAACACATGTTAAATCATCCATATTGACACCTCAAGTGGTCATTATTATCACATACATCAAACCACAGGGATAAAAAAGATCAGACAGTGATAAATTTTCCATCCTCTAACTTATGCAACTTCAAATAATCACCTTTCATCACTCTACAACTGCACAAGCTATCCCTTCATTTTTAGAGCATAATACGTATATGATAAAAGTACTCAAATTGTACTGCTTTCAATCCTGACAAGTTGTAGATCATAATTATCGGTTTAGGCCATTAATCTAGATGACATAACATGCATTTTCGTAGAATAGGCGTGGAGCTCTTAGTTGCATCTTATGTGTACTATATACTTACCCTTTAAAGGTGCAATTACAACATTCTAACATAAATGCCACTCAAACACTTAATCTAATAATTTTCATCTAAAATGCCTCCACTAATTTTTTTTCCCCTCAAACTTTCCGAAGCTTTATTTAAACGACTAACAAGTATCAGATTAAGAAATTGCATAACTAATTATGCAAATCAAGTGAACACAAAGAGTAAAAAGCAAGAATTAAACAACAACAAATCGTAATTAGACTTCGCAATGAACCGAACTATTGAGTGGATTCCTTATCGGAGACGAATCGTTATCAAACGTGGGGGGGAAAGATCGAGAAAAAAAAATGGAGGAGAGAGTGAGTACCTGGATGAAGATGAAGGCGGCAGCGGCGGCGACGAGGAGGAGGCGAATGTCGCAGAGATTTCTCGCCATTGGCGATCGATCCGAAGCTGCTACTGCTGCTTCGATCCCAAGATTCCAAGATTTGGGCGACTTGGACTTTTTGATGTAAGGCCTCGGGCTCTATGGACTATTAAAAGGGCTTTTTTTTACTCCAGTGGCTGTTCTGGTTGTGGGGGAAAAGACAACCCTATTTATATTTAGATTTAGATATTTAAATTTTCAAAACAACCTCGTTTAGAGTTTTATTTTTCAAAATCGACCGGTCTTTTATTTATTTATCAAAACCAACCCGATTTTGTGATTAACTAGCTAATCACCTTCCTAAATAGTCGGGGTTGGCAACCCCGACTATTTAGGACCTTAATTTTTAGTGTTTAAGACATCTAATCAGGGTTTAATACCCTCCTAAATAGTCGGAGTTGCCAACCCCGACTATTTAGGATGGTGATTAGACTGTTAATCACAAAATCGGGTCGGTTTTGGTAAATAAAAAAAACACTCGATTTTAAAAAATAAAACTCTAAAGGGGTCTGTTTTGAAAAATTGTTCTTTCCAGGTTACGTTTTAATTAGAAAACGTAAACGAAACGTAATATTTTTATTAAAAAAAAGTTGGGGGAAATGCTCCCAACTTCCATCCAAAAATCAAAAAGGAAAATCGCCCCCCAAAAGACTAATGTTGTGTTTGGGAGCTTCAAGGGGAGGAACGGGACGGGAAGGAATGCAACTTGTCAATTTTCTCTCTCTCTTTTATCCTATTAGGTGAATTGCACGTGCAATGCACATGGTATAAACGCTTAGATTTAGCTAAAATTGATAATTTAGTTTAGCATTTCATTCTAATTTATTCATTGAATCCTTTTAACCTAATCTAGAGTTTATATGCATGTTTAAACAAACATATGATAGCCTAGTGAAGACCAAGAAGGAGCACCGTTTTTTTGCAAATCTTATATCACTATTAAAGGGATAATTGTATAGTAAGACTTAGTTATATTTTAACATGTAAGATTGATTCATTAATCTGCATTTAAGAATTTTTAGATTTTTATTTTTCAATGTACAGAAGAATATAAATCAAAACAGTTTATTAAACTTATTTCTAAATGAATATTTTCTCGTAAATGGAGTATCAAATTGTTAATGTTAGTATGTAGAAAGGTCCTTTAACTCGGTTCCAAACCTTTTTAGTGAAAATATAAATAAAAGTGTAATTTTACAATCGACGGTTTTATTCCTCTTTATAATGACAAGAAAGGATTGACGCACACATGCTCTGCATAATTTTATATAATATGACTATAAGCAAGAACAAGAATATCAGTTTTAAACACAAATCTGTATTATAATGTGCTTCTCAAGTTACTTCTCCTCCATGTTCTAGTACAGTGTCTTCAACAATATCACTTAGCATTTCAATGAATTGTCAAAAGCCAAAGATGCATAGTCTTCTTCCACTGTCATGACCCTGCACTAAAAATGACAACAAATTTTGTCAACAAAATGCCATATTACAGAGTAAATAGAAAGATAAGTTAATATAGGGGTCACTACTTATATTTGTTGCGGCAATATTAAATAGGGCACCAAGACAAAGACATTGATCAGTACCCATGTAATCACTCTCCTAAAAACATTGAAGTTTATGTAACGACTTCGATCTCCCTTTCCCCTTCTACACAAGCATTATAAGAATATGTATCTCCAACATAAAAGGAACGTTTGAAGAAAAAAATATAAACTACAAATAAATGATGCCAAAAGGGAGAAATTGGAAGAATTTTCTGAACCAATTTGTTAGACAAACTAACTATTTAACTGCATCATAAAACCTTTTTACATTATTAAATTCATTTGTTTAAGAAAACAAACAAATTAATTGAGAGAATGTGCTTCTTAGAAAATGTCACATTTTATTTATATGAACCTGTGTGTACAAGCTTCGCTTTCTACAAGGATTCATTACCCTTTCTTTTTGGATATAAAATATCATCAAAAAGATTCCAAAAGAGATCTAATAGTAACACCTGAGTTAAATAAATTTTAAGATATTAATAGAAAATTTTAGCATGTCAAAATAATTCTAATAAGAAAAAACTTTTCCACGAATAGCCTTACAGTTTTGAATTTGTGAATAAATTCCTGATAAGTTCTCAAGAATTTGTAGGCCTTCAAGCAATTAACAGTCCATGGTGCATTTCAATAGAGGCTAGAGAGAAATTCATAACCTCTTTTAAAGGAATCAACATCTCCAATTACTTTTCTAAATTCATCACTTTTTGTAGCTCCTTTATGCTTGTTGGCATTGCAGGCCCATACATGAACAACAAATTAGCGACATTTTGGAGATGATGATCTCAGATATGTGTTGTACCAGTTAATAACATTAGTCTTTTGAATTGTTCTTTTCTCCTCTGTTTTCAATTTTGAACCTTAACCAGTGGTGCTATGTGATGCGTTGGGAATTTAGTCTCCCTACTACTTTTATTAGGTAATAGTTGTATTTTATCATACCTTTTTTGCATGCTTGAGGTTTATGATGTTTTAGCAGATCTGAATATAATTCAAAGAACTTTAGAAAAGGGCTATTGAGATTATTCTATAGGCACATACATGAAGTTTAACGTGAAGAGTATGCTTACTGAATCATTATCAAACTTAGTTGTTGTCGATTAATATGGCATGCTAGTTGTAGTACTATGGCCATCTTTTATTTGATATCTGCTAATCATGCAATACTAACATTCTACAGGTATAACATTTTGCTGTATTACATGCCAAATAATTATAGTATGTTGTCAAAACTATGAGGTTTGAATCCAGTACTTACAACAAAAGAAGGAAAAAAATTATACATCAAGCTGAACTTTGACATTTTTAGGGACTGTCATATTATCATTATTTAAATATTTACATTATAAAGAAAAAGACAAAACAATGTTAGTGTTCCAAGTTTGTGTTATAGAACTATAAAACCCCAAAAATTTGAATGTTATATAAAAAATAATAATAAATATGTTATATGGTAAAAATATAATATATTTTGATGTTTGAGTATGATAGGAATTGATTTGAAATCAATTCAATGTATATTTGTGAATATATGAGTGCAAATACACAAAACATGCACGAAGAGAAATATGGAAAAATGACCAGTTAAGAGTTTATATATTTTACATATCGATACAGATTGAATCTGGAAAAACTCAAAAGATCAACATTGTAGGTCTCTTCAACATCTTTCCAACAAATCTTAAATCACCCTATTCTGAGGTCGTATGAGAAAGTTACAGCCCACATATCGAATGTTATTTTCCTAGTCAGACTAGGTTTCCTGATTCGGGTCAAACGGATTTATTTCGGGTTTGTATATATATATATATATATATATATATATACATGTGTTTTCATAAAAATTATCATCTTTTCATCAGAGTTTCAAACCCTAGCAGCTCCTCTTCCTCTCTCTCAAACCCTAGCCCTAAAGTTGAGATTTTGGGAGCGTCTTGTGAGGAGAGAAGCGAGGAAAAGGCAAGATCTACGACGTTTGGTGATGAGGAGTCATTTCATATTAGTTTTAAAGACTTGCACACGTGATAAGGCAAGATCATCTGCATACAAACTCATCCCTATAGTGTTTAATGATTATAAAAATATTTAAATCAATGTTTTCATGCTTAAGGCTTAACCTGATATGAAAAACATGAGATTTTTTATGATAAATCTTAACCTAATGCTAGATCATTAGCTTTTCCTAATTATTTATGATAGTAACATGATCATGATCATTAGGGTTGATTAAATTTTTATTTTTTAAACTTTATAATTATTTTTAACTCGTGTGTTAACCCTAGTTTATTTTCTAATTGAATTATAAAGAGGTTTAGTTTTTATTTTCATCATAAATTGCAGAAAACTGCTGCATATATATAATATTTAACTAGAAATTTAAAATATCATATAAACTCCAAACTGAACAAAACCAGTGTCAAATGAAAGCTATATGAACCTATTTTTCAAAACAGAAAACCATTCTAAGAAAGAGTTTTTATAGAGAAAGATATACTCAATTTACTAATGACATATTCAAAACAGAAAACCATTCTAAGAAAGAGTTTTTATAGAGAAAGATATACTCAATTTACTAATGACATATTCTGTAGAAAACTGCTACACGTGTGTAACCTTTAACTGAAAATTTGAGATAAAATATAAACTCCAAACTAAACTAAACTAGTGCCAAATGATAGCTATGTGGATCTAGTTTCGAAAATAGAAAACTATTCTTAAAAAAGTTTGTCTAGAGAAAGATATGCTCAATTTACTAATGATATATTTTACAGAAAACTGCAGATATGTTGATTTGAAATAATTGATATATTACGTAAAGTTTTCTTTGAGTTTTCATATTAATTAATCATGCTTAAACCCTAGGTTTATGATACCTAAGTAAGATAAATATGTTTAAATGAATTTTACCTCTGTTCATGAGTTTAAACCCTAGGTTTATGATACCTAAGTAAGATAAATATGTTTAAATGAATTTTACCTCTGTTCATGAGTAGTTTTTATCATGTGTATACCTAAGTAAGATAAATATGTTTAAATGAATTTTACCTCTGTTCATGAGTAGTTTTTATCATGTGTTTATAATCACTTTGTTTACATATGAGATAATTGAAGAAATTGTTTAATTAGGATGTTAAACCCTAATTTAGAAGATATAATAATTTAATTTGATGTTTCAGATAATTCTTGTTGCATATGCCAAGTATAAAATCTTGTTTTAACATCATGATATGTACATTTGATATAAGCACTGTTTGTGCACGAAAGAATGCGTGTCTTGACAGAGTAGTCGACTACTAAGCTTAGTAGTCGGCTACTCGTGCCCAGTTGAGTATAACAGAAACTGTGTGTTTGCAGAGTAGTCGACTAATGTTCTTAATAGTCGACTACTAATACTGATATATGTTATTACAGAATCTGGATGGACTCAGTGTAGTCGACTACTAAGCTTAGTAGTCGACTACTAAGGCTGTTGCCTGAATTTTTATTTTACATCTGTTTGAGATATGTTTGCGGGTTTCAAGCCACACTTCTTTATATGTTAATTCATGAATAGTGTAGTAGCACATACATGGGTATGC